TCGTGATAATGTGATAAAAACCGTGTCAGGGTTGCAATTTAAGCTCCGCCCCCGGACTCCGACCACTTTCCAGAAAAATGTTTTCCTGTAAAATTTCTCCCCCGGAAATTTTTTCCCGTAAAATTTTTTCCTGGAATTCACTTTCTTCAGAAAATTTTTACCCGTAAAATTTCTTTCCCGGAATTTTTGCAATTCTGCGTAGCTTGCAATCTAGGCTCCGCCCACTTTTCTCAATAAATTTTGTAAAAAATTTAAAAAAAACAAATGTGCTCTATTGTAAAATTCTGTATTTTCAGAGATGTGTCATTTGCACTCCATCAGAATCAGTCGAGTGATTTTCGAACAAAAGGCGACGGAAATTTTCGAGATGTTGTTTGTAATTTGTTAGGACGAGATGTGGCTGATGTAAGTGGATTTTAGTGGCCTAGAAATCCAAAATTTTGAAAAATTAGGCCATCGATGTCTTGAAAATTAAAAAAAAAGACAGAGAAAAAATTTTATATACGCTTTTAAAATGTCCAAGAATCGTATGGCATAGTTTTCCGAATTTCTAGTCCATCAAAACCAAATTTTGCAGACAGTGATCCCAATTTCACTGGATTCAAATCGTCTGAAATTCAAATTCACTGGGAAAATCTCGAAACCAATCGCATCGGCAACATCGAAAAATGCGCAAAATCGAAAAACGAGCCGATCGTTTTTTAGTGTTTTTATCAATGGACGAAGTGTGAGATGTGACATTTTAAAGCATCCGATTGATGATGTTTTACAGGTAAAAAACAGAATTTTCAATCAATTATCGATTTGTCTAGAATCGATCGCTTTGTGTTCAATTCTGTGCATTGCACCTGGAAATTGATGAAACCCGAATTGATGTCAACGTTCATCCGACGAAATCATCGGTGATTTTTCTGGAAAAAGAGGAAATTATTGAGGAAATTCGGGAATATTTTGAGAAATTCATTAACGATTTATTTGGACTTCCTGATAGAACAGAAGCTGTGAAAGAAAAAGAAAAAGAAGAAGAAGAAAATGAGGAGAATCTGAAATTCCAGTTTTCCCAAATTCCAATTCTAACAACCCAATCGATCAAATCAATTGAATCGTTTCGACGGGCATCCACCTCGAATAGTGAGAATGGTGACCTAGTTTTGGAGTTCTAGGCCATCGAAAATCCATTTTACAGGTTTCAAATTAAAATCCTCTGCTGATCCCAAAAAGCGTGTAGACCATATGGAAGTTCGAACAGACGCCAAAGAGAGGAAAATCGACGAATTCGTTGTTCGCGGTCCCATGAAACGGCCACGTGGCAACGATTCAGATGAAGAAGACGTTTTTGAGAATCTAGATGACGTGGAGATTCAGATGACACAGAATACTACAGAATTGGATGATGGTGTTTCGATGGTTTCTATGGCTAGTGGATTAGGGGGAGATCGACGAATGAATGAATCACAAGATTTAGGAGAGGATGAGGATTTGCTGGAAAATGGGGTAAGTGATAACCCTAGGTCTGAAATTCTGACAATTTCTGAAAAACTAAAAACCGAAAATTTTGAAATTTCAAAATTCCGAAAATCTGAAATTTTGAAAACCTGAAAATCGAAAATTCCGAAATTCTAAGAATCGAAAAATCTTAAAATTCTGACAATTCCTAAAATTGTGAAATTCTAAAAATCTAAAATTCTAAATTTTTTGAAATTCTGAGAATTCTAAAATTCCGAAAATCTGAAAATTCTGAAATTCTGAAATGCCAATAATCGAAAATTCTGAATCAGATTTTTCTTGCAGACAACCTATCGCGAGTTTGAGTTCGAATCTCTCGAAATTCTCCGCCATCAAATCGCTTCGTCTGCGTCTCTTTCTCTCCGCGAACTAATAAAGACCAGCACATTTGTGGGTTCGATTGATCCAGAAACGGTCCTTATTCAATTTGGAACTTCGCTATATATGCTCAAATTCTCTGAAATCCTCCGAGAATTTTTCTATCAAATTTCCATTCTCTCATTTGGCAATTATGGGTCATATCGGCTGGAAGAAGAGACTCCATTAATTATCGATATGCTCGAATTGATTGGGGAATTGAGTGAGACTGATGAGAATTATAAGGCGTTTTCGATATTTCGAGACCCAACTACACGAGAAGAGGCGGAGTTTTTGTTAGGTGAACACGTGGAACTACTGTATGACTATTTTGCAATCAAAATGGAATGGATGTGTTTAGAAGGAGAGAAAAGGAGGTAAGAGTTAGGCCAGGATTTGGTTTTCTAGGCCACTATGATTTACAGACTCCACATCACGGAAATCCCATCACTAGTACACCATTATGTTCCACAACTCGAGAAACTTCCATTTCTAGTCGCCTCGCTGATTTTGGATGTCGAATATGATGATGTGAGTTTTAGAGCGCACTTTCAAATGCCGGAAATTTTGAATTTCAGGAACAAAAATGTTTCCAATCGATTTGTCGTGCGATCGCTGAACTCTTCACACTTCACTCTCCATTTATTACGGCCGAGAAAAAAGTGTCGGCATTTTGTGGAACGCACTGGAAGCCACTAATCAAACAAGTCCTCATGCCACTTGTCAAACGAAAATTCATTCCGCCTGAGCATTTTAAAAGTGCCGATATTTTTGTGCAATTAGCTGATTCTCATGACCTGTATAAGGTTTTCGAACGGTGTGGTTCTTAATTTTTGTGATTTTTGTTGAATTTTTGTGAAACAAAATAAATATTTTCTTTGATTTTTGTTGTCTTGATTATAGCGAAAATTCGAAAGAAATGTGCTTGCGAAAAGTGGGCGGAGCCTAAACTGCAACCCTGGATCGAGTTGCCGCATGGTTTTTTAGCACATTTGGATACTGTCATGAGAAAAAACGGCGACAAAACCGTGCAAACCGTGCGCAGCTTGCAATTTAGGTTCCGCCTCTTGACTCCGCACATTTTCACTGGATTTTTCTCAAAAATTACATTTTTCCTTTGAAAAATGCATCAATTGTTTTCTGTGAATTATTCCACTTTTCTTTAGTTTTTCCCTTTTTCGTCCGTAAGAAACGTTTGTTAGGCTAAAACACAAATTAAAAACTTCATTTAGTTCTATAAAAACAAAGCAAGTTTAAATCTAGTTCCTCTCGTCGACGAATGCGTCTTCTGGATGTCCGGCCATGCTGAAAACTACCGTATACTATTCAAAAATTAAAAATTCCCAAAATAAAACTTACAAATCCTGAGCGAACAATCTTCTATTCGTCTTGCTCTCCTCCAACTTTTCGATTTCCTCATGAGTCAAAGTGAAATCGAAAATGTCAAAGTTTTCCTTGATTCTGTTAGCATGAATCGATTTTGGAATGATTGCGATGCCACGATCAACAGCGTAGCGGAGTAGGATTTGAGCTGGCGATTTGTGATGCTTCTCGGCAATTGAGATGACGTTAGAGTCTTGGAGTTCGGAGGGAGCTGGACCGAAGGGTTTTCTGCAAATTCGCATGTTTTAAAGACTTGTTTTGAAGAACTTTGAAAGGTCAATATTTTCAGATTATTCCAATTCAAACAAATTTTTTTAAAGCGAGTTTGACCATTTACCATAAACACTCTAATAGATTGATCCCCTCACTTCTAGGTCTGAGCCAATTTACCTTGGTGTTTGTGAAAGATACCAAGAAGTGACCAACTGACAAAGCATTTTTGATAGTATGATAAACAGTTTTGCAGTTAACCACTTTTTGATACCTCCAACAAGAAATGAGATACATTGCCTCAAAGTAGGCGGTTTGGTTCCGATAACTCACATTCCATTTGGAAGAGTAAACTCCACACGTCCAGGACTTCCCAAAGTGGAATAAGAAGTTACAGAGACTCCATGCTTCTTGCAGAAATCCACATGATCGTGTTGTGGGAAATACAAGTGAAGCTCGACTTGAGAGTTATGAACAGGAGTTACTCCTAGGGCCAAAGCTCTCTCAATTTGAGAATTATTCCAGTTTGAGACACCAACACCCTTGGCGAGTCCTGCTTTATAGACACCGTCGAATTGTTTCCAGATGTCTTCAACGGATTCGTGGATTTGTTGACTCATATCATCATTAGTTGCAGTTGGCATATGAGCGAGGTAGAGGTCCACATATTCTAGCTGGAGTTTTTTGAGAGATGAATGGAGGGCAGTCTCGAGTTTCCCTGGAGCGATCTCGTGGGTCCAGGCCTGAATTATTATTTAATTTTTCATGAAGTTTCTGATTCTTCAAACAACTGAGATTTTTAGAGAGTCGGTTCTAGACTTTCAGATTTTACGATTCTGAAGTTTTTCAAAGACTCTGATGTTCCAAAAATTCTAGGTTTTGAAGGAAGGGACACAGGAGAATTTTCGGGGATTTTTTAAAGTTCCGGTATGTATTCTGATGTATACAGTGAACAGTGCGAAGCAATATTGAGAAAAAAAATACTTTTTTCATGTCCCTTCGAAATCCAACAACGCTCTACCGCATCTTTTACCTTGGTAGTAACAAACAACTCCTCTCTTTTGATGACTCCTTCCTGGATCAACTCCTTAATTGCTTGTCCAATCGCTTCCTCATTACGGTATCCAGAAGCAGTGTCAATCAATCGATATCCAGCGTTTATTGCAGCCTTGACTGCGGAAATCACCTCTTCAGGCGTTGATTGCCATGTTCCAAGACCCACTTGCGGCATTTTATGACCATTGGAAAGAGTGATCGTTGGAGAGGAGGGCATTTTCTGGGGAAAATTTTTAATCTTCGTTGGAAAGTGTGAACAACTTTGAGAAGTTATGAACAAAATATTTAGGTCAGAACTTGGTGAAAAAGTTCTGCAAAAAAAAAGAAAATCAAAAATGTTAGTAGTGTATCAAAGTCCTTGACCATTTTAATGACAAGAAGTTTTTGTTATCAGTAGTCACAGAAATAAAAATGTTTACAATTTCTGATGCACTGATAAAAAATATTTTTGTCATCCTTCGATGACATTGATCGGAAATTTTAGGAAATTAGATTTAGACTGGTCTGAAAATATCAGGAACTTCAGAAGTTTGAAATCAATAGGTAACCTTAAAAAAATAAATTTTGACCTCCAAAAAAAGGTCCTACGTGATTTTTAAAAAATTGGATCGCATTTTCTGACTTACAAACTACAAATCCAGCTAAAGAGGAATCTCTCTTAAATTAAATTTAGCTCACCATGAAAACGATTTTACAAAATTTTCGTAAGTATGCAAAAAGCAAATTTGCTCCATTGATAATATTTTCAAAAGAGCTTTATTTGGTTTTCTTCCAGACAAAATATACACAATTTTAATGATTTCCGTTATATTGAACTTGAAATGGATCAATGGAGGTTCGACAACAGAAATTCCCGAATTTTCAGAGGATATGAATGGAAATTTCACATACGATGAGCATTTTGAAGCGTGAGTAGATTTCCCGGAATCTTTGGAATTTTGAATTTTTTGAATTCAAAAATTCAAAGAATTACAAACATACCGTAAACCCTGTAAAAGAAGGACCCCTAACGTTTAGCTTTGAGCTAATTCATTTTGGTTACTGTCAAAACTGGAGTTTTAGAAAGTTTAGAAAAGGCACAAAAAATCCTTTGAACGATTCCAAAAAACGAGTTTTCCAGAGAGTTCTATGGAAATTTGATTCAATGTGTTATCTACTTCCATATCCTGCCCATAATCAGTACTTGTATGATTGGTTTAACAGTTCACAACTTCTTTAAAAGAAGAACCCAAATGAAAATGGACGACCATTGTTATCGAGTCCATTCCAATGGGGTCTGTGACTATTGTGAAAGTATCGAATTCAATGAAAAACGAAATTTGAATAAATATTATAATGGACAAAAGAAAGGATTCAGTTTTAAATTAAAGAGCAAGATTTCCGCTCCAAGTGCTCCGAAACAATACGGTTGGGTAGATGAAATAGAAAAGGAAAACGACGGAAAAGGATCTGAAAATCTGAATAAAGATGGGAAAGTGATTGAGAAACTGAAGAAGAAAAAAGAAAGGACTCAAACGGCGTTATCCATCGATACAACTGCAGAGGAAACGGTTTTAGAAACTTGGTTTTTTTTTTGAATTTAGAATAAAAATCATCCTTTCAGGAAACAATTGATGATCGAGAGGATGATTCGAAGGCTGTGAGTCGAGGAACCATTCATTTTAAAACTCAATTCATCACTGACGGAGATGTAAGTAAATACGCTCCATTGAGAAATTTTTTTCTAATAGTTAATGCTTTTCAGATTATGATAGAGGAAACAGATGAAAAACCAGTGAAACTTAAAAAAGTGACATTTGATGAAAATCCGATAGAGTTCTATGAAATTGGATTGGAGGTGGAGGAGTTTGAGGTAAAGTTTTAAAACTCTGAAATTTTAAGATTTTGAAAATCTAAAAAATCAGTTTTCTGGAAATTCAGGATCAGTTTGAAATTTAGAAGGTTAGAGATTCCAAAAACCTTAATTATTGGAAAACCTATCTGAATCCGAAATTTGGTTTCAGAGCATTGTATATGTATCTTCTAACAGAGAAGACATACTGGTCTGAAAATCCAATATGTAGCTTAAAATTAAACGTTTTTCATTTTAGTGTAATAAAATCCAAAAAAATTATTGGCCACTAAAGAGCCTGACTATAGACTTCAACAGTAGGTCATAAGTTCAACTTCTCGAAAGGCTTACCGTAAACACTCTAATAGAACGCCACCCGAATTGTCTAAATTGAGCCCACGTATCTCATTTTCTGTGAGAGGTATCAAAAATTAATTAACTAGTAAGATGTTGCTGATATCATGATAAACATTTTATTAGTTGACAACTTTTTGATATCTTTCAAAAGAAGTGAGATATTTAGGCTTAAAGTAGACGGTCCAGGTGGCGTTCTATTCGAGTGTTTACGGTATATTTTTTTCATATCCCCTTGCTCTAAGCATATTGTAGGATTTTGATATCTTAAAATCTATAAATTCAATTTTCAGGCGCCAACAATTAGTTCCAAGGGAACTGGATCCTCGACAATTATGACAGCTTCAATCAAACAAATAGTACATAAATAGTTTTTGCTCTGTTGATTTTATTTATAATTTAATAAACTTTATTTTTCTCAAGATTATAGCCTTCCTTATAGGGTTTAAGAATCATTTTAAAGGTTTTGTCGAGCTGGAAAAGCTGAATGACGAAAAATCGCCACGCTTCTCTGGGAAAAAAAATACAGAAAAGTTTCCAAGTCTTGAACATTCTCGATGCTAATAATCACCTAAACTTCAAAGTGAGAAATATGTCTTATATCGTCATTGAACGGTATGTTCAATAGAGCGTGTTTGCAATTCAGATAATTTTTTAAAAATTTCAGCAACGGTCTGGTGACAGGATTATTCGTATTGCTGATGTTGGAAATGGTCTTAACACTGGCCACGATTATTATCTTCTGCTGTTTTGAGTATCGAGCATCGAAGAAGAAGAGTTTGAAGACGACGACGACTAAAAAAATTACAGAGCTGAAACATTAGATTCCTCTTAAAAATGTAGAATAAAGATTTTGAGATTTATTTGTTTTTTTTTCGTTTGAAAGTCAAATACCGTATTTCGGCTCCGCGTCACTTCGAAACCGCGACACTTCGAAACCGGTCATTTCGAAACCGTGGCAATACAGGCGAATGGATAAATTTCAGACTACAAAAACAATTTTAGAGTTTTCAAATATGCTTTTTCTGATAGAACACATTCTGAAAATCCAAAAATTTAAGAATTTTCTTCTTTTGAGAACAAAATTTTGGATTTTTTCGATTTTCAGAATGTGTTCTGACTTCTGACGAAATGACTGGTTTCGAAGTGTCGCTGTTTCGAAATTCTAGGTATAGTTTTTCCTTTTCTATGCATAACGTAAAAAATTATAAATATTTTTATGATTCATGTTATTTTTCCCTACCTCCGCAATTCCTTTTTTTTGTATTTTCACATTATTTATTACAATATTCAGCTCTCATCATTTCGTATCCAAAGAAATTCGAAACTGCAAAAAAAAAACAAAATTTCATAATCAGTACAAAAAAAGAGCAATTTTTCAGAACAAAAAAATATAAAATCACAAAAATGAAAAAATAACTCTGAATATGAATTAGTCAGAAAACTATTCTAGGGGTTTTTCGAAGAAAAAAAAATTATTGCAATAAACATTTTTGAGATTTTTCAGAGGGGAATATTAAGACTAGACAATTAGAGGATTTTGTAAGAAACAACAACAGAAACTAACGAAGTTAAAATCTAACCGGATTGAAGGGAAATAGGAAAAGTTGTAGAATTTCTAACAAAGGAAAAACATTTTAGACTAGAAAAATTTGAGTTTCAGAGTGTTAAAATCGAATTGTGCTGGGTGGGAGAGATTTTAAGGAATTTGAGGGAACATTACCAGTAATTTTATGGGGTACTGTATGAGAAGAAATACAAACGGGAAGAAAAAAAAAGAATAATTCGGGAAGATTTTGCATCCTAGTCATATTTGTGCTTGCCATGGCTCTGAAAAATTGTAATTGGATTTTTAAAAATTTGAATTCTACGAAAACATAATTTGGCTGAAAATAGAAAAAACGAACTCACCGATACTTTATGAACTTTAACATGTCGTTTACGTTCATCACTTCGTGCAAACTTCCGGCCACAGATTTCACAGGAAAATGGTTTTTCACCAGTATGCGTACGAACATGAGTTGTCAGATGATCGGATCGAGAGAAGGCTCGAGAGCAGATTCGGCACTGAAAATAATAATCGTTGGATTTGAAGAACGTCTTAAATTATCTCTAAACCTAACATTTTCATGCTAGGTACATACCTCGCACTCTAATAATACCTACACTTTAATAGAAGGTCACTTAAACCGTCAAATTTGAGCTATATCTCAGTTCCCGTGAAATAATATCAAAAAGTAATCAACTGACAAAATGTTTATCAAGTTATCAACAACATTTTGTCAGTTGACCACATTTTTATATTTCTCACAGAAACAGAGATATATGGGATCCTAGTTAGCGGTTTGGGTGACCTTCTATTAGAGCGTTTACGGTAAGAACTTGTGACCACAAAAATGAAAACCTTTAAAAATCACCCTTACCTGGAATGGCTTCTGCCCCGTATGAATCCTAATATGTCTTGTTAACTCATCACTTCTCGAAAACCTTCTATCACATCCATCCCGTGGACACTTGTACGGACGATCCTGTAGAGGCATGTTGGAGTTCTTCTTAAAGAAAAAAATTAATAGTCTCAAAACTTTTTTGAAAAGAAACTAACCTTCATCTTCTGACAACCAATATTCTTCAATTCCTCCGATGTTGACGAAAATTCGAACGAATCGAAATCCTGACTATTCACATCATAACCGTTACCACCGCCGGTTCCATATGAATAATCATCCATTGGTTCCGGTTTGGGCTCAAAATGGGACAAGTTGGGAGCGTCTCTGAAAAGAAAATTGATATAAAGTTTTTCTGGAAAGTTACAGTATACACTCTTATAAAAGGTCACCCCGTACTTACACTTTGATCTCTTATATTTCGGTTCCTGTGAGAGGTATCAAAAAGCGGTCAACTGACAAATTGTTTATTATAATATCAGCAATATTTTGTTAGTGGACAACTTTTCGATATTCCTTACAGTAACCGAGATATAAGAGCCCAAAATCCAAGTACGGGGTGGTCTTCTATTACAGTTTTTACGGTATGCTCCTAGACTTAAGACTTACCCAGTTGCATTACAACTAAAATTAATCATCGGATAAAGTTTCAATAACTCTAAATTCCTTTTGTTGATAAACTGGATCTGTTTAGAATATCGATGGTGAAATTCTCAATATAAACATTTGGTATTTGTGCAAAAATTTTTTTTTCGTGTGGGAGTCGTTAGGCTAACGCCTACAATTGATCCCAATAATAGAGCAGCTATTGTTGAATAATGAAAAGGATCAACTCTCCAAAATTTTCTATTCAATTTTAAAATTTCACAATACTCACCCAAAATTGGAATTCATGCCCGCGAAATTCGAATTGTTCAAAAACGAATCATCAACGTGTGTGGGAATCGGAGAGACTGATGAATGGTGAGCCAGAGTCAGCGTGCCGGCTGTATTGGTTCGTGTGACACGTGGAACTATTCGGGGGACTACTACTGTCATTGGACGGGATGTCGGAGCAAGAGGAGGTGGTTGGAGGGGCTGGGGTTGATGTTGTTGGTGCAGCAGGGATGGTTCACTGGCTTTTCTTGGGAGTGATGGGACATGGAGAGAGTTGGCGAAGCGAGGCTTGTCTCCAGATGATCTCCGTTGTTGGATGGTCTGAAATGAATATTTCCGGATTAAAGGTTTTCGAATTTTGAAAATTGAAAATGAAAAACCACCGTACCTTCACAGGCTCCTGGTTGAACGTCGGCGCTGGCTTCTGCTGGGCTGCCGTCGCCGCTGCATGTTTACTAGTCAGCGTCTGCAGAAAATGCTCGACCATTGGAGAGAATTGGAAGTTTGAAGCGGAGAGTCCTGGCGAGTCTTCATCTTTCGAACACAAAACCTCCTCGATAGGCTTCACTTGTTTCAGCGCTTCTGGTCGTGGCTTGTGATGGAGTCCATTGGTCATTTTTGGGATTTCGAAGGCAATACTGTGCATCTCTTTAGGTTTGAATTCTGGAAAATTCGACTTTTAATAGAGATTTGGGTCCCATTCATGGAATCTACTCTTATTATGGAATTGACTCTTATTGATAAATAAACTCTTATTGATTATCTTATTGACTAACTCTTATTGACTCTTATTGATTATGGAATCGATTCTTTTTGATAAATAAAACACCACTTACCTTCTATTGGGTGATGGTCCATGATCCTATTACTACTACTACTACTACTACTACTACAGTTCGCTATCGTAGGCACTGTCAGAGGGGATATTGTAGACGTGCTCGCCGACGCTGCCGCCATCGTCCGCCGCATTTCAAACTGATTGAACAGCGGTTCATCTTCACCGAAAAACGTTTGATCAGTTTGTGGTGTGAATCCGGAGAATCCGTTGAGCCTTCTAGAACCGTCCATGCTCATAGGCGTGTGTCTGGGTGAGTGGATCGTTGGAGTCTGCAAGAAATTGTTTGTGTTTTTTGGGATTAGAATTTTATATCAAATTAAGCTGGATGAAGTTTCAAAATGCTGAAATTTTAAAAAAATTCCAAATTGAAAAAAAAACAAAATTTTGGATGTTTTACTTTTTCCCAACGAGTTTTCGAATGCAAGCAATATATTCTGACAGGACATGTGCAAAAAATCTTTTTTCAATGGAAAAAATTCCAAAAGTGTATTCATGACTCTCACACAAAATTCGTAAGCGAAAATTTTTGATTTGTGATCTATAGTATGAAAAGAGCAAGCAAGAAATTCGAGATTGCCCGCTTTTTCCGATTTTCAGCAGTTCTAACTTTGAGCCAATTTATCTCGGTTCCTCTGAAAGATATCAAAAAGTAGTCAACTGATAAATTATTTTTGATGTTATGATAAACATCATGACAGTTGACCATTTGTGGATATCTTCAACATGAAATGCGCTATATGGGTTCAAAGTTGACTGACAGTTTGAGGGACATTCTATAAGAGTGCTTACGATACCCCTTCATTTGATGTTTCCCTTTTTCCCACAAAAAACATACTCTTCCGAAGATTTGTTTTCCTTACATGACTAGAAGATGACGTGTCTAATTAAATTACAGATAATATAGCTAAATTGAGTAGGTGTTTCAGCTGGTTGAGCAATAACTCATTGCACAAATTCGATTTGTACAAACTAAAGAAAATTTGCATAAGTCACAACCAGAAGCGTTTATCTAATAATAGTAAATTCAACACTTCTATGGAGGAACGAGATAATTAGGATTTGAAAAAAGAAGTGCCCATTATCGAATCAAAAAATGAACAGGAACCGAGGATTTCGGTTACCTAAACCAAATTATTGTAGTTCCTGTCAGAGACATGAAAAAATGTACAACTAATAAAGTATTGGAAATTTCATCTTGTTTATTTCATTAATTGATTCCATGTTAACACTTTCATTGGGAACCGAGATAATAAAGATAAGAAAAATACCGTAAAACCTGTAATAGAAGGGCCCCCACACTATAATGTTTGAGCCATACTTGCGACCGCGCCTTGGCCGGGCCCTTCGTGGGCCTTGCCATGGTTTCTTTTTGAATCAATATTTTCGAATCAACTGAATTAGATATAATAGAAATCAGCGAGTACTAAAAAATAATACTATTTAGAGAGTTGTGTCTTGTCTATGAACAAAGTTACAAGGCATAAGGTGGCCGGACCTTGTCGCGTGGGTACGGGCCGGGCCTCTGTTCTTTGTTTGTAACTTTGTTCATAAACAAGACACAGTTTTTCAAATAATATCATTTTGTAGCACTCTTTGAGTTCTATCATATCTAATTTATTTGGTCCACAATTTTTGACTCTAAAAGTAACTATATCAGACCTCGCGAAGGCCCGGTCGCAAGTATGGTTGGAGCTGATTTATCTCGCCTCCTGTGAAAGATACCAATAATGTATCAACTATCAAAACATTTCTGATGTTATGATAAAGAGTTTATCAGTTGATAACTTTCACATATCTTTGACAAGAACCGAGATAAATTAGCTCAAAGTTTAAAGTTAGGAGGTTTTGCGGTAATTAAGATAGAACGCCTATTCTTGGAAAAAACGATTATGGCTTTTGAGACCTCACCTTTAACATATCACTCATAGTTGGGGTTTTAAGACAATCATTGTCTGCAAAAGTGAGTATCGGTTTGTTCAGTGTCGGCGGCCTTAAAAGCGTCGATGTCTGCCTATTGAGTTTGGCGGGTGGCTCGTGGAGAGTCATCTCCTGAAAAATAGACAATTGAATAGAAAAAAAGGGATTAGAATCAAAGAATTATAGAAGAAGAATAGGGGTCAATGAACCAGGAAAAAGTATAAGGATCAGGGAAGAAGAATGAGGATATTCTTTCTGAATTACTGGGAAAAAAGAGGAAAGAATATGAGGTAAATGAGTAGCTGAAATGGGAAATGACTAAAAATGGGAAAAATAATATTTTGTAGTTTTTGAAAAAATGAATAACAAGAAGTGAATGAAATTTGTATTTGGAAAATGAAAAGAAGGAAAAACAGTGACGATATTCTGATTCAGAATATGTTGATTTTGGAGAAGCCAACTCTATAATAAAGACTATGATTCCTCCTTTTTCAATTTCCTTTCCAATTTCCGTTTACAAAAAGTATTTTTTTGTTCAAAAATATTTAATCAAAAACAACGAAAAAGCAATTTTATCAAAATCATAAAAATCTGTTATCCCCTTCCAAACAGAAAGAATTTTCATCCCTTCAGTTTTCCGGCTTAACACACACACACACACAGACACACAAAACGACGCATCATCATCATTCCTCTTCTTCTTCTTCTTCTTTGAGGGAAAAACGAAAAATACATGTTACACCAGAGAGACGAAAGATCATGCAAAATGAAGAGACGCAGAGCCAACGGTCGGCCGGCCACACGGAGCCTCACGTTTCTCACTCATCCCATCTTGTCCACGAGAAGTACAAAATAATGAAAAGGAATTTCGCAATATGAAAAAGGGGCAATTAATTAATTGGGTAATTAGAAGGATAATTAAGTGGAAATGGAGAAAACAGGGGATTTCCCGAGGGAAAAATGAAGAATATGATTTTTTGGAAAATTGGATTTAAAGGTAAATGAAGTCATTTTTTATATATCGCAAAAAGTTTTTGTCAAAAAAGAAGTTCAAAAATAATTGAACAAAAAAGGATTGTTAAGAAAATAAAGGGCTGTAAGAAGAAGTTAATTGGAAATTCTGAAGAAATGTAAGATCAAAATCAATTTAAAAAAAGGCTCTTTAAAAACTTTGAAACATTATTCCGAACCTCAAAGTTTCCCTTTTTGCACTATTTACTGTCTATTCAATAAAACGTGG